GAATATTTCAAGTCTTATCGATATTGTAAAGCGTCTTAACAGAAAGGAAAAAAAAAAAAAAGAAAAAAAAGAAGAAAAAGAAGGAAAGAAAAGGAAACTCACTTTCTAAAGAAATTTATTCTTTCGATCTTTCGTCATGACCAACTAACCAGTAAGTACATTTATTGCACTCAGGTAGAAAATATTCAATGGTTTGTAAATACTTAAACGTACCATCGGTAGTCGAAATATTTTTATATTGATCCATAAATCTATCATATTTTCTCTTTTTCCTCAGATTCTTCGTGGTCATATGTTTTAACAAAATATACACTTTCGTAGAATTTTCTTGACAGACAGAAAGAAAAACAGAAACAAATTGTCTTGACAAATCCGATTAAGATTTTAAATGACTTCGAATTAAGATCTATTACTTTGAGATCTTTTATTGTCTGATTTTATTTGTTCTCGTAATAAGCGAAATAAAACATCACCGAGGTTTATTTAATTTTTAAACGAGTTTTCACAAATCCGTAGATTTTGTCGAATAACATTCACAAATAATGAATAATACATTTTTGTTGATCTTCGTGATGTTAGAAGAAAAAGACAAAGAAAAGGGAAAAAAATTTTCGAAGAGACATTTTCAAAGAAAATCTATAAAATTGAGACATTAAAACATATTAACTATTGACATATAAATCTTATCAGCAATCAAGAGGATTGGCTTTACTTACGTCGTTGCTTACATTTAAGGACTGGTTAAAAGAAAATCGAAAGAGTATGAGCAAACACATCGAGTTATTTGAAATTCTTTGAGGCTTACGTCCGACAGGATACAGTTAATGTAAATGAATGATTGTTCATATTTATAATGCATTAGTTCGCCTCGAATACAAATCGTTTATTACTAAATTGGGAAACATCTATTCCAATAAAAAAAAAAAAAAAAAAAAAAAAAAAAAAAAAAAAAAAAAAAAAAAAAAAGTATTCTTTCGATTATAACATTTCGATAAATATAAATTGAGTGGATAAACTCTTATGATATCATCGTATAAAAATATTACATTTTATTTTCAATCATTAAACATTTCTAAGAAATTAAAAGATGTTTATTTAGAAACGTTTCTAAGAAATATTTCTAGAAAGGTTAAAAGTTATTTGAATAGAATAATGGCATCGTAAATGTTCGAATAAAAGACGAAAAACCTTGAGACAACGCCCAGAAAGTGAGATTTTCATTCTTCAAAAAGAAATTCCAAAAAAGAGAAACTCAAACGTTTCCAAAAGAATCGTAAAATATTTCTATACAAACGAAATCCATTGTAATCGTATGAGAGACAACGTTAAGACGTAGTACAGGTTTATGATGTAGGAAGCGATGAAAATCGAGTACGACCCATTGACCGATTTCATTAAAATTGAAGCCCGAGGGCTCTCAACAGGTTGATCGAACATACACGTTCGATTATTTTAACGATACGATTCGCGTGATACGAAAGCGCAAGCGCGTTTAGACTCGCGGGTACGAAGCCGATTGGTCAGCGATAGATCGAGCAATTGACTTCGTGTCGTTTCGTTGATCTTCGACTCTTATCGTATCGGCTCGCGCGCGTTCCGTGGATCCCGTCGATCAGAAAGTACGCGCCGTGTTGCGGACAGTATCGCGGCCGCTACGCCAGGCACGCAACTATATTACGCGGGAATTTATCCTTTTTTTTTCTCTCTCTTCCTCTTTTTCTTCTTCTTCTCCCTCTGCTTCTTCTTCTTCTTCTTCTTCTTCTTCTTCTTCTTCTTCTTTTTATATTTTTATTTTTCCTTTCTTGTCATCTTTAAGAATTCTAACGTTCGAGTGCTCATTTTTTTCTTTTCGTTTTTTTTGTTTGCTTTTTTTTTTTTTTTGTTTCCCCTTTTTCCTCGTAAAAACGTCGTCCTCGTTAATTCTTTTAATAAGAATTTTGAATAAGAATTTTTATCGAGAAATTTGCGATCTTTCGTTTCTTTCTTTTTCTTTCTTTTTTTCTTTTTTGAACAAACAGTTTAAAAAAAAAATTTGTGATTTACTCGAGTCGATCGAAATAACAGGTGAGTTAATACCGATTTGTTTTCTCTCTCTCTCTCTCTCTCTCTCTCTCTTTCTCTCTCTCTCTCTCCTGTATTTCGTTAATTAATTTATCTATCTAACATTCCACGCGTTAGAAAAGAGATTTGTAGAAAAAGAAAGGAAAGGAAAAAAGACAAACAATTGTTTCGATGCAATAAGAATATTTAAACTTTCGAGAAAATTTGTCCATTATTTTGCGGTTAACTTTTCCTAACAAACGATAGATATTGTCGGCCAGTTACGTAATTTACCGTGTACGGTAGAAACGATGGGAATCTTCTCAGTTGCATTCAATGCGAAATGCTGACACGTTCGGAGTTTTCAATGTAATGAAACGACACGAAACAACATGACACATGTTTCTTTGGAACGTTCGATTATATCACGATCGATCATTTATACTGAATGAGATTACAAGAATGAAATAACACCGAGAACAACGAGATCGAAGAAAAATTTTGATATTTCAATTGATCCGAATGACGATTACGAGAATGATGAAAAAAAAAAGAAAAAAAAGAAAAAAAAGGAACGACGAAAATTAGCTTAGAAAACATTTCGACAAATGCCAAATATATATCACTTTTTTCTTTTCTTTTTTTCTCCTCACTTCAGATATTATCCGTTCTTCTACGAATTTGTTTTTCTTTCATTTTTTTTTCTCCTTTTCGCACGATTTAAATTTAATGGTGCAAAAAGATCCGCAAAAGTTCGCGCTTATTTATTTTCATTCAAAATGGCGACGTCCTTGGAGAGGTCACGTGTTCAGTGTCGCACCCATATCACCCACGACAGAGTCCATCCGAATGTCCACCTGCGTGCTCCGCTTACCAATCCGCTTGTCGTCCTCTACCGCGCATTCAAATCACTGGACTTTGCTATACGATGATTCAGTTCGCTTACTATATTAACTATACCTTTAAAACACCTATGAGAGATTCTTTATGATGATTATTATTATTAAAAAAAATTATTATTATTATTATTATAAAGAAACAGAAGAAGAAAAAAAAAATATATATATATATATAATATATATAAAAGATTAGAAGCGCATCAAAAAATTGATTCCGACGAGTTTGAACAATTTGCTTTCTTTATTCTATCAATTTTTTCTTTTCAATGAGAATTATTAAAAAAAAAAAAAAAAAAAAAAAAAAGAAAAGAAAAAAAATGGAATAGAACAAATGCGCGATGTTTAACTCAAACACGATTACGGTATAGTAAACGCATCAATTACGTCAAGTTGAGTAATCAAACACTACTATGAAGCTCTCTCTCTCTCTCTCTCTCTCTCTCTCTCTCTCTCTGTTTTTGTCTGTCTCTCTGTCTGTTTGTCTCTCTTTCTCTCTCTCTCTCTCTCTCTCTCTCGCCCTTGTCAAGTTATTTGGTTTGATACGCATGACGCATTACTGACGTCACATGCATATCCTACAAATACAATAAAGTAATAAAGTTAACATGATCTTTCTTACTGTAATTGATAAAGAACATGTGTGCCATTTAATAGAATAATCATATAATCGTTATGATGTATGTTAGATCAATCTCGAATCTCAATGTTCGTATTATTCCGTCATCATTTTTTTTATTTTTTATTTCTTTTTTTTTTTTTTCTTTATATATTCTTTGTAAATCGATTGTATGATTCCCTTAAAACGAAAATATTATTCAAATTCTTTTACGTAAAGTTCCTAATAATATCTATCGAATAGAAAAGAGGAATAGGAAAGATAAACAAATGAAGGAAAAAAAAAAAGAAAAAAAAAAAGAAAAGAAAAAAATAAAGAAAGAAAGAAAAAGAAAGAAAGAAAGAAAAAGAAGAAAAAAAAAAAAAAGATCTGAACGCTTACGTACTTGTCCCTGGCGCGACAGGGAGAGCACGTGCGTAATTTCAACCGCAAGGACGCAAGTGAACACTGGCGTAGAAATAATTTATTTATTTTACATGATGATCCATTCGAAGATCGACCTTTTCATATATTATTTTTTACTCGACGATAAAGAAAGAAAAAAGAAAAAAAAAAAAAAAAAAAAAAAATAGGATGAAAGATCGTGCAGTACAATTTCAAAATTGTAGCTACGTTAAAGCTAATAAAATTTCAATATGGTCGCCATGGGGTTTTAATACAGACTATCAGTTTTATAATTTTTAATGCTTCATATTGAATAAATATAAAATAAATGGGATTAATATAAAAAAAAAAAACAATAATTATAAAAAAAGAATGACAATTTACATAATAATAATAATAATTAATAAAATTGAACAAGAGATAATTAAATAATGTTCAAATAATAATGCTTAGATAAATGATAATGAAATGAAATAACATATAGCTAATAAAATTATTATCTATCGACAAATAACAATATTATATACGATAAGATAAATAAATAATAAACGTAGAGAGTAATCAAATAAATGAATGAAAAAAAGTAAATAATAATAATATTTTAGATATCGAAAAATATCAAACGTTATAATTTATTAAATCGTCGTCGTCGTCGTCGTCGTTGTCGTGATAGACCGAAGAAAATATTTCTTATACGTATGCATAAGAAGATCGTTTGTTCCGAATGATCGCGCCAATGAGATCCAAGGATCGAGTAGTCGATCGTGGCATACGCATGTCTTTAACCATCTCGATATCGTATCGCAGTCCATATCGAGGTGGCCAAGACCACAGGCCCGCGTGCCACTTGTGGCCTTCGACTTCCATATAGAGTCTTCCGATGAATTATTACGCCTCGCATCAACATTATGCGATGGTGAGAGTGTATGCAACGATCTATGGGAACGACGCACGTATATGGATGCATTTTGTAGGAGAGAGATAGATAGATAGATAGATAGATAAATAGAGAGATATAAAAGGATATATAGATAATAGAGAGAGCCATTTTTGCGTCGTACAAAATCGATCAAATTGCGTATGCCAAAATCAATGTCTATGTCAAAATAAAAACAAAACAAAACAAAAAGGAAAAAGAAAAGAAAAGAAAGGGAAAGAAGAAAAGGACGATTTGTCTAATAGTAATAATAGATCGAAATAAATTTTTATAAGATGTATAAAGAATTCCTTTTTTTTTCCGTTTGTTTGTTTTTTTTTTGTTTTTTTTTTTTTTCTAACAAACAATTTGTTCTCTTTCACGTTTTCAGATTGTTTTGATTTACGAAGGTGGATTATAAAGGATAGAATTAGGTACAATAGAGAGATGACTTTGTGATGGAGGTGATTTCGACACGGCGATATGAGGTCCGACCACCACCTACGACTAATCATCATGGAATCGTTGTAAGTATATATAAAAATATACGTATGGATAAGTATCAATGAACAAGATAATTGTAAGATTAGAAAAAGATAAATGATTGTCGTCGATGTCGTACAATTAAATCATTTAAGTTTAAAAATTATTTTCTTTTTTTTTTTTTTTAGGTTGACCCTGAGAATTCCGTGGCATTGGTCAAAGAAGGTAAGCTCTTTGAGATACACATGTCT